TGCAACTACTACTACACTAAGCATTTACTATTTATTTGTTTGTTTTTAAATATTTTAAATTAAATCATTAAAACAATGTTTTGGCTTAACCACTTAATGATTCAGATTAATATAGTTTTTTATTTTAATATTATTCATTCTTTTGTAAATAAATATAAAAAATTAAATTCATATTTGTTTTTTCAAAATCAATATTCTCATCAACATTAAAAAATTATTTATTCTATTCTATATAAGCTTTTAATAATTGTTATTAATGTCTTTCGACACAATCTTATGAAATACCAAAGCTTTTTTCAAAAAATTATTTATTTTTTAAATTAGTAATCCATAGATTAGCAAGGATAAATCTTTTTCCTACACGAAAAATTATGAAAAATACAAATAAAAAATTGTTAAATACAAAGTTTTTTATTAAAAATTATAAATAATTTTTTCATCTTTGATTTCATATATTTTTATACTTTCAAATCATAAAATATAGTATCATATTAAAATAATTTTTCTAAACAATTTAGTATAATTAATTTAACTCGTGGCGTAAAGCGAGAAAAAAACTAATAAGACCTAAAAGAGAACAGCCTAAGGGAACGGGAAATATGAGTATAAATGAACAGTGCGTAAATAGTAACAGGTGCTAATATTTTTAGCCTTTTGTGTTATATAATTCTTTGATTTTGAAGTCAAAGAAAGAATAAACTTTATTTGGCCGGCTGTCACCGCTGATCTGGCAAGCATTAATTAGAAAGCTTGTAAGACAAAACAAGTAATTAATATTATCATGTCTTGCGGTTCTCGTGCAGCGCGAGCACATGACTGGAGTCTATGAGTTGGTTATTAGTTTGGCCAATGAATATTTATTTTAGTTTGGCTTTGTGCCATTCAGAAACAAACAAGTTGCCGTTCGAAGAAAAAATTTGAACCAAAACAAGGAACGAGCGGGATGAGGATTTGTCTGATATTAAATAGAAGTATGTCATGTCATCGAAGTAGATCGATGATGAGAAAATTACACATTCACTATGGAATGTAATCAAGCTCAAGTTTTAGATTCTCAGAGAGAGAATATATTTACAAATCAAAGCGGACAATATATATATATATGAGTGAAGATAAATTGTTGTCTAATAAAAAAACAATTGACCCCTGTTTTAGAAAATATCAACAATTTAACTGTCCAGTTGATTTCCGAATATTCTGTTTTAGTATATGAAAAAAAAATCACGACAGCAATTGAAAGTAACTTAATTATTTTCAATATTTGAAAAAAAAAAACCAAAATCAAAACCCATTTTCAATGTCTGGTAAACTATTTATTTTTAATAATAATTTTTGGTTTTAATTATTTTCGAATAGTAAGTTTCGGCTTTAATTATTTTTGGTTTTTATACAACTATCACTGTGACCTTTATTTTGAGGGTATTTTAGAATTAATAAACTCCATAATCCTGCAATCCTCTGCGTCAAACACCGAGTAAGGGATCATCCAATGCTGGCTCGGACACCATCTTGGTTGGGATACAGAAACAGAGGGGGGACTAAGAGGATCATTAGTTTGGCCTAAAGAATATTGACGTGAGAGATTGCAGGGTTCCAGTAAATTGTTTGTACACCCGGATATACATAAAAAAATTAAACGTATGCCCTGTTCTCAAGAAATTACCAACGTCGTTTTGAAATTGACTCGGAATTATGTCAAGTCCCAACGAGGATTTTAATTTGGGCAACATCCACTTGTGCCGTTGGTTGTCTTTGATTTTGAATATTAAATATTGAAATGAATGAGTAACAATAGTAATATCCACTGTTATGCAGCAGTCCCAACCAAAAAAAAAAAAAAAAAAAAATCAAAGAAAATAATCTCTAATCTAAGCATACTACATAATAGTTGGCCTTGTTGAATTTTAATTTTTAGATTGACGAAAATCCAAATTCTCAGAAAAGGAAATCAAGAACTTGACAATTTCCTACAAACAAAAGAATGAAAGAAGCTAGGCAAAACTTCTTATATTGTTCTTGCATACGTGACTCAAGTGCTATCTATGGTTCACGAAACATACATGATATAAAAAGGATTAAAATTACTAACGGTTAGAATAGTTTAGCGATTATACATATATAGCTTTTTTAATTGAAGCAGGTTTGAATTTCTATGATTTTAATTTATTTAGGTATTATGTAATGATGGATAATTATCCTTCATTATATTCTTGATATCGAGAAACCTCTCGACAAACCTATAAAACTGAATTATAATGTCTTTATACATTATCGATTTAGTCGAGTAGTCTACCATTTAAACTAAAGCATTTTCAATGTATGATAATTTTAATACGATGCAAAAAAATCCGAATTACTATATATTATGGTCAATTAAAAGAATTAATACCATTATCTATTTTTATATAATAAATTAATTTTTTAATATGTCTTTATATTTTAAAATGTTTTATTCTTTTAATTCAAATTTTTGATCAATTCATCATAAATTAATTTATATATTAATAGCTATAGATTATTTGTGTCAAATAATAAAAAATAATTTTTTCAAATCACATACAAATCATATGCTTAATTTATAATGAAGTGACAAAAAAAATTTAACTAAAAGAATTGATTAAAAATCAGTTTCAATAATAAAAATGCATTGAAAACATTTTAAACTATAGAGATAAATTAAAAAATTGACCTATTATTCAAAATTAGCGAAAATATTAATTCCAATAAAAAAGATAAGTTTCTATGGCTATGTTAAGGCGATAAACGTGAAGATTAATCCGATGCAAAAGAATCCCCCTTACCGTATGTTATGGCCATTTAAAAAGATAAGTTTTATGGCTACATTAAGGCGGGAAACGTGAAGATTTGTCAAATTACAGTGGACATGTCAGACATGGCGAGTAGGTGTGGTTAGTCTCTTTAGTAGTTTTTACTCCGATGGAGTGGGTTGTTGGAATTACTAGATGTTCATATTTGGTCTTGAGATTTAGTGGATTTTCGAATGATTAGTGGTGTTTTTCCAAACTCAAATCCTCTTGAAGCCACGCTTGTCTACAAAAAAAAAAAAAAAGGAGAAAAAGAGAGAGAAAATTTTATGGTTAGATTGATTGTGATTAGCATGCATTTAAAATAGTTTCTCTCCTTTCAAGATGGCTAAATTGAAAATTTTCCAATGAATGAAAACGCTAGCACAAGTGTATTGGTGAAACCTATTTCTATTGTTTTCGAAGTCCCCTATCTCCGATGACATTAATAGCTCAAATTTGCCATGATCATCTTTTTTAATTTGGCTCCGTGGTCTACTTGTTCTACTGATTTTTGTTTGACCTTGCTGGCCTAAAGAACCTACAAGTTTTTTTTCTTTTTCACGACCCCTTTTTCTAGGCATCTTGTTTGTAATTTGGAATCATGCCTGCCATTAATGAAATTCCATATATTTATATACACACATGATGCATCTCGCTTCAATCTTTTATCATAAACTATGGATCTTGACTTCTTCAAAGATTTTGACAACTAGAATTCCACTATATATATCATATATTATATCACGCAAGAAGATTTGTGCTTCGATAATATTTTGTGAGTGATGCTACTCAAACAAATAAATTATATCAAAATTTTGTATAACTATGTGATATTTTTTGTATAAATTTGGTCACTTACTTAATATATTTGAAAAGTACAAATCACCACTTATTAGAGTAAATTACAAAGTAGTCCTTTTCTTTTTGAGAAATGAATTATTTAATCTTTTATATTTTAATTCAGAAAATAATTCAATTTTTATTAATTTTTTTATTGGATTAGTGATGGAGTGTCTTAACATAGTAATTTTTTGTTTTTAAATTATTTTTTTATTTCTTAATTTTTTCATTTATTTTTTCTCCTCAACTATCATGACAATCTCTTTTTTAATTTCTTCGATCACTGATGGTTGTGAAAAGAAAAATATCACTATAATAGTTGATGGGAGAAAAATTGGTTTTAAAAAATATATTAAAATTGGATGATATATTTCAATTAAAAGATATATTAAAATTTTGGCATATAACTCGGAGATACAATGGATGTAATGTACTAGTTAAACATGCACACAAGACATTCTGCATGAAAAATATAAGGTGAATTTAGCCTTTTTGGCTGCCTAATTTGAGGGAACGAGAATCTTTTCCTCCGGTTAACTGTCTTGGAGATAGAAGAAATATACTTTATTAAACAAATTAAACGAAACTTATCTGAGACTCATGTGCAAAGTCAGAAACTTAACAGAAAAATACCACAATCAGGATAGTGGTTTTATACCAATTGATGGTGGTAGTTTTTTTCGGTAAAGAAAAAGACAGAGGTAAAATTTCCACTTGCTATGTGTGATAAGACAGGTACCAAGAAGCAGCGTGGACAAGATTTCCCGTTTCAGGCACGTGAGATGCACAAAATCATTCAATAGATCAATAAGTGACAGCAGGACATGAAAGTGAGAAATTTTATAATAATTTAAGATTAATATTTACTGTAATTATTTCATAAATTTATTTAAAATAAAAAGATAGATAAAAAAATATATTCATATCCATAAAAATGATAAAAATATTATAAAAATATTTGAACGTCAACTTAAATTTTTTTATTTTTATTTTTTTCAAAATAAATTTATAAAATAATTATTATATATCACATCTATTACTTTATTGTATTATAAAATTTCTCAGCAGTAAGCATTCGCATCCCTCGTTGATGGATCACCACCCTTATCTTATACTATTTATATATATATATATATATATTTTCCTAATCGTTTACACACCAATATAAGTATGGTAGGAGTTAGGACTCAAAGCTTATGTGCTCGCATTTATGTGCGCTCTAATTTATCAACCTTCAACCACCCACCAGCCTCCCTCTTCTTTTTGCCCATTAATTCTCTAGGACCAACTGCATAAAAATAAAGAGAAACCAAAAGAAATCAGAAACACACAGATACATACAGACACATATATATGGAAGGAGTTTCTGCTAGGATGTACACGAAGATGAAAGGATACTGGAGGAGGAGAGGGTACGAGAGGATAAATGGGTCGGGTAGGAGTCGGAGGAATCGGCCGGTGGAGCTGGGTTCGGGTAGTACTAGTTCAAGGAGGAGGAGATTTAGTTGGCGGATCAAGATCAAGCCGAAGCTTAAAATCCTCAAAATGTCTTCTCCAAAGAAGTTTTTTGTTTGGCTGCGGGATGCCTACGTGAAGTTGATGCTTGGGTTTGCTAGTTCCAGGGCGATAGGTACTTCAGGGTACGGTGATACATTTGGTGCTTTAGGTGCACGCCCAATCAAGGAATATGATGAGAAGATGATCATTGAGATCTACAAGTCGTTGGTGATTGCACAGGGTCAGTTGGCTCAGGGTCAGTTGGTGCCACCCGATGCAGCCAGGTTTGGTCCCATGTCTAAACTTACTGCTATTGTGGAATAGCTGGCCATGGAGGTTTTTTTTTTAAGGACAAATAAATCAAGCCAAAAGTAAATTGTTCATGGTTCCATAAATTTCCCAAGGGAAAGAGGGAAAAATTATTTTCGTATTTATAATATAATGTCCTCTTTTCTACGCTAATGTTCTTGTAATTGCAATAAGTAAATTAAATCTTCAGTTGGCAGTTAACCTAGTTTTTTAGTCATCTCTCACTTATTCAGATCAAGAACGCTTAAAATAAAAGAAAATATCTTTTTTTACTGTTTTACTGATGTTCAGAAGGATCCAGCATTTTTCATGATGGCTATATAATTAGTAAATAAAAAGATGGAATAATTTATATTGTGCAATTTATATATATATATATATATATATATAAAGCCGGCTTTTAGGTTAATAACTTTTTTTTTAGTAGCACTGAGCTCCCTGTATTTACAAAAGGTCAAGAGTTTTAATTTTATTTTTAAAATATTTGAGCCTAAAAAAACTTTATTATAAGATGACCAGAATAGCCTTTAGCCCTTTATTTTTGTAACAGTAACCAATTAGCAATACAGCTTTTCTTTCCTATTTCGTTAATTTCGTTAATTTTTAATTGCTAATGCCAACCTCCTTTTCTATGAAATATAGGGTCCTACTGTGATAAATTTCCTATGAGCTATTGGGTACTTAAAAAATAAAAAAAAAACCTTTACAGAAAGAGCAATTTCAATTCTAGGAAGAGAGAGAGAGAGAGAGACGAAGATGAAAATGCAAATCCAAACCTTTTTTTTTTTTTTTTGGATCAGCTTTCTTATGGACATGGATTGCTTGAACAAATGGTGTCTTTCGGGAGGTTATGCGTGGTCCTTGACAGGAGAGTGACAACTAAGCAGCAAAAACATTTAATATTGATAGGTGGTTCTAGTTGGTTTATATATATATATGATCAAGATAATAATAAAAAATAAAATTGTTAAAATAAAATTTATTTCTTACTGCGGGACGATGTGAGCTTGCATCATCGTTTTACAAAATCCTAAAGATGTGGGGAACTTCACAAACTTTCCACTTATTGCGACCAAACATGTGTCGCACGCCTGAATGCCAAATCCTGCCGTTGGTTTAGCTTACAAAGAACAGGCAGTCTTTACTCTTTAAAACTAAAGGAAACAAGATTCATAGTCTTGATGCCTTTCACGTCGTTTTATAAAATATTTGAGCAAAATAGTAAGAGTATTAGAAACGTTTCCCGCATTTCGTGCTTGCCATACACATGCCATTCGAGAAATTTTTTTGTCTCATGCATAAACATAAGCCAGCGATTCACTAGCAAAGCAATTCCGGTGGATTCAAAACTTTCCCAAAAAAAAAAAAAAAAAAAAACAGTGATCTTAAATTTCTCCGTGGTAATTAGCATAATTTGCAAACGGACAAGAAAAAACAAGAATTGAGCATTGATGTTGTGTTTTTTTTTTCCTCCCTTGGCCGGATAATTATTACATAGAAACCTGTTCAGCATGTGAATCGAAATTATCTAATTAGCTGGTGCAGTTGTTATTAGATTCTGTAATAGATTCCTATAATATAATTGATTTGGTTTGTACATGAATTAATTCTATGAAATAATTTATGTTGTTTGATTAATACGATCATTTCAAATTGCTATCGATTTCAATGTGATGACAACGGTAATTTAGGTTTGCATATTCATAAACATCAACAATGTGTGATTTATAAAACAGAAATACTTTAGATATGTACATTTAGAAATTAAAATATCTAATAATAAACCAATTTTGAAATGGCTGGTGTCTTGTAGCTTTATTTAAACAAGCTAATGTTGGTTGGAATCACCCAAAAAAAAAAAAAAAACTTATTTTAGTAAAACAATATTTAGATTAATTTTTACTTTTTTTTTCTATCGACCTTCAAGTAGATTGATCATATTAAAATTAGTGCTTTTATAAGAAAAAAATTACTCTTAAAATTTTTTATAAGTTTGAACTTTACGTGAACAATACAAAGAGTACAACGATTTATCAATTAGGTTAAATATCAATAGACTTTTAATTTAGTAGTGGTGATTTTTTACGCTTTTTAAAAACGATGGATTCAAATTATTATTATAATAATTATGCTATGAAATAATGAATGTCTATCATTATGCTTATCTATTTTTTATATCCTCACTACTCATGATTTTTAATATGATTTAATTCATCATTCAATATGAGAAATTGAAAGAGTGATGTAATTGATTATTCATAATCCCTTTAATTCTCTTTTCGATTTGAAGCCTATAAATAGGCTTAATTGTTCATTAGTTGATGTACAAGCTTTTTAAAGAGAATAAGAGAAACTTTGAAGTTCTTATCACTTGTATTCACATTATAGTGATTTCATTTTCTTGTCATCCTTTTCTTCAATTCTCCTATTATTTTTTATTTTATTTTATAATAAGTTATCAGCACGAAGCTCTAACCAATTGAGACAATAGATAATGAGGTATGTATCTACCAAAAGACTTAATCAATTGTTCCAACCAATGGATTTTTTCCGTACAAGTGCTCTACCAATTGGATCTAAATTATTATTTAGATCATTACGAGGTATGTATTTAATTTATCGGATACTTTAAATCTAATGATACATAGAATATATATTTGAAAATTTTTAATGATTTAATATATAGAATCTAATAACATAATATATATTATTTGAAAGGTTCAAATTTTATGATTATGTTTGTTTTTATTTAAATTTTATTATTATATTTTATCTTTATTTCCTAACATTATTATTATACTTTGCAATATACAATTTTAATGATATCATATCAACCATCATAAAACTTGATTTTGTGGCCCTTGACATTTTGGGCAAGAATTATTAATCATAAGTGCTTGATGCTAAGTTAATATCATCTATTTTTCATGTCTCGAATATGCTTCTACAAGTATCATAACAAGAAAAAAGAGTTTAAGAAATATTATGAATCGATTTCATATTTGCTCAAGGCTAAATAAAATGACAAGTTATTGATGAAAAAAAATAAATCTCGACCAATTGGATATTCTTCATTCCCCGAAGTGAATGTGATAATTTATAATAATTTTAAGCATAGAAGAAGATGTGATCATAGCTATGGACATGGTCGAAATAAATATCATTATAATTGTGATGACCATAATATTATATCTCATCACCGAAGTGGATAACTATGAAAAAAAGAAAAGAATAAAAATAGATAAAGTCGACATTCGAAAATGAATGTTATAGATATGATATGAATGGACATTGGTCGTGTACTTATCGTACACCAAAGCACCTCGTTAAGCTTTATCAAATCTCATTGAAAAAGAAAAAAAAGTAAAATATAGAAGCTAATTTTATATATCAAAATAGAGGTAATTGAAATTAATAACTTGTTAACTTTTTTATAAATAAGATGTTTTATATTTTCTTATAATTGTATAGAGATAATGATAAATTTATTTTACTATATATTTATTATTTATGGTTATGAAGAATTTATTTATTTATTTATTTATCGATTCATTTATTTAATTATTTATTTTATATTAATATTATATATGATAATATCAATCTAATAGAAAGCTCTAGAAGAGCGACTATATTATTATCTAAAGAAATAAATTTTAAAGGCTCTAGAAGAGCAAATATATTATGACTCGAAGAGATAAATTTTTGAAGCTCTATAAGAGTGAATATATTATTACTTGAAAATATAACTTTTAAAGGCTCTATAAGAGTCGATGTATTATTACTTGAAGTGACATAATTTAAATGCTCCAGGAGAGCAAATATGTTATTATCCGAAGGGATAAATTTTATTATAAATGATGTACTATTCTTTTCAAAGTCTCATAGAAATATATTGAGTTTTAAAGATATTCTTCTAAATTGATATCATATCAAGATAGCAAATGTGAATACTTATTTATTATAATCATTATATCGGGTAGAAAATATGCATTAAAAAATTTATCCGCTTTCTCTTTTAGTTGTTATTACAAATATTGGATTGATTGAAACGGATACTATAGTAAACCGAAGTTTACAAATTCAAATGCTTTTATTATGTGACATGACCAGTTGTGCTATCTTGGGTCTTTTATGATGCGAAAAATTATCAAAAATTCATATGGACATCTATTGAAGAGCCGGAAAATTCTTCAATTTAATAAATTTTTATATTTTATATGTTCTCAAGGTAAATTGATTATTAAGCCATTACCAAGTAAAATTGAGATTGAATCTCTAATATTTTTAGAATGTATTCAAAGTGATATATGCGGATTAATTCATCCACCATGTGGACCATTTAAATATTTTATGCTTTTCATAAATACATCCACAAGATGATCACATATATGCTTATTATCTACTCGAAACCTAACGTTTTCGAGATTGCTAGCAAATTTGATTTCGAGCATAATTTTAAGATTATGCCATTAAAACGAGTCACCTTGATAATGCTGATAAATTTATTTATCAAGCATTAAATAATTATTGATTGGCTATTAGAATAAAGGTTGAACATCCGGTTACTTATGTTCATACTCGAAAGGTTTGATAAAATTATTTATCAAAAGGATCCAATTGATATCTAAACCATTATTTAAAAATAAAACTCCATGTTTATGTTGGGGGACATGCAATTTTACATGCAGTAACACTTATTCTCATCGGACCTATAAGTTATTAGAAATTCTCTCCTCTTCAATTGATTTATGATCATGAGTTAAATATTTATTATTTAAGAATTTTTGGCATTGCAGCGCATATTTGTAGTGCTTCTCTATAACGAAATAAAATAGACACTTAAAGGAGATTAGAAATATATATTAGATTTGAATCTTCTTCGATCTTTTGATTCATGAACAAGGGGTATTTTTATAGCTCGATTTATCAACTCGTCATTTTGATGAAACAATTTTTTCAACATTTAGGGGAGAGAATAAATAAAATAAGTAGTTGAAAATGTTGAAAAAAAGAGA